TTTTTTTTTTTGACGTTGAAGTTTCAATATTTTTAAAAATTGGTTTCATGCAGAAAATCTTGTGCAAATGTGCATTATATAGAGGGAATAGTAGACGAATTAAATGTGGAAGTATAATGTATTTATATATTGCAGGTTGAGTTATTTTGGAAAAAAAAAAAAAAACGAGACTATCAAACATTCAACAGAAGAAAAATAAACAAATCACTGAAATCTTAAGCGGGGTCCACAAATGGTGGGACCCACGGGGCTTCTTTATTCTTCCATCTTATCTCAAAACGCATTTGATTGTTCCAAACCTAACTCCGTACCACCGTAAGGGTGATTCACCTTACACGTGTCAGTCGATTGTAGGCTCAGAATCAGGCTCGGCTCACGGCCACTTTGCACATTTCTATACTCTTTCTCTCTTTCTTCCTCCTCACCGTCTCGTCAAAAAAATATCACAAGAAACCAAAAAACATTTTGATCAAAAGAGAAGAAGAAGAACACTGTTAAACCCACCACCAGAAAAAAAAATTTCATCAGCAGAAATAATCTCCGATCGATCTCCGGCGATATGATTCGGTACGTATCTACTTGTTATGTATTTCTGGGGTTTTACTGTTGGGAATCAAACTCTTCGTATATAGTGTTGATTCACACTTAATCTCGTTTTGTTATGTTTATTTGATTGATGTGAGTTTGAATCACTGGATCGTATTCGAAAAAAAGTTTCTTAAATCGTCTCTTTTGTATGGATCAGTCGAATGTAGTGTGTTTTCGTGTATTATTTTACCATTTTGGGAAGCTGATTTTTGACGTGATTAAGGGATTGTGATCGTGCTCTGTTTCAGTCTGTGAAGAAAATTGATGAGTTTTGGTTACATCATCATGGGAGGAGCTTGCTCGAGGAAGAGAGATCAACAAGTTGAAGATATTTTAAACAGAGGTGTCTCTGGTAAATATAGCAAGAGTTCCAGTTCTAAATGGTTAGCGACTTCGCTCTCTAGGTCTGGCTCGGATGTTAAACGCAAAGATGGAGAATGCCCTTCGCTTATGGAGCTCTGTGTTCGCAAGATACAGGAGGTATATATTGGTTTCCGGCTCGTTGTTGTCGAGCTTACGAGGTTGTAATTGTGGTTTGTGATCCGCTTAACTAAATGTTTGAACTTTGTTGCATCACAGGACATTGATAGATATACCAAATTCTCTGACCTACCTAGAGATATCAGTCAACAGATTTTTGATGAATTGGTGTATTCACAACGGTTAACTTTAAAGTCTCTCGAGGCATTTCGAGACTGTGCAATCCAGGTAAAGTCTCTTCGCGTTCATGCTCAATGGTAGTGTAGCGGATATCTTTGGCTGACTACTTATTTGTGAAAACAGGATCTTTACTT